AGGTATGTTTTTACTTGCTTTAGCATGCATCATCTTATATCGCATCATAAAAATGGGACTCCGGTCTCGCCAAAAATAACATTCATTGAACATGCATGGGCCAAATTTAGGTGTCATTTTATCTTTGAACGTAACCTCTCGCGAGCTCAATCTCTCGCGAGCTCACCTTCAAAGAGGGCAATGTTGACACCTATTTTTAATTTGCCCAAAATTAATTGCACAAAATTTAGGAATTAATTTTCTTTAATTCCTAAAACAAAAAATATTTCTATTTAAATGCATTGCATATAGACATTAGGCATATGTGAATTAATAGGGCCTATTAGAGCATATTTTCTTAAATTTTAAACAAAAATTTAAAAAAAAAAAAAAAAAAAAATCGAGTAGGGCCGGGTCGGAGCTGGGCCGACCCGGCCCATTTCTTTTTTTCCTTTTTTTTTTTTCTCCGCCCGGCCCCTTTTCCTTTTTCTTTTTTTCCTTTCGCGGCGGCCCAAATTACTTCCTTTTCTTTTTCTCTCCCCCCCGGGGGGCCCACCGCCAGCTTCCTTTTCTCTCTCTCTCCCGCGCCGGCCGCTTCTCTCGCCCTCGTTCTCCCCTCGTCGCGACGGAAGCGTGACGCACGGCGGCGCGCTTCGCCGTCGCTGTCCGGCCGCAGGAGAGCGGATGAGCACGCCGACGGATCGGGCATTAATGGCCGGCCCCGTCCTCCCCATTTCCCTTCTCCCTTATCCCCTCCTCCCTCTCGGCTCCCTGTTCCTCTCGGCCCCCCTCGGCTCTGCTCTGCACCGGCCTGCTATGGCCGCGAAAGTCGCGGGGCAGGTAGGCCGGTGCAGGCCATTGTCACGCCGACGCGGGGAGGCACAGGTTCGTCGTCGCCGGCTATAAATAGCCAGAGAGAGAGAGAGAGGCCGGCGGCCACTTTCCGTAAAAAACGAGACGGAGAGACCGAGCAAGACAGAGAGCCGAGAGCTCTTCCGGCGACCGCCGTGCTCGCACCGCGCCTCGCCATCCATCCCCGCCGCCGAGCCGACGCAGCAAGGACACGATGAGAGAGAGAGAGAGCCCCTGGCCGGCGAAACACAGAGAGAGACCGAGAGAGAGAACACAGAGAGAATAGAGAGAGAGAGGAAACCGAGGCCACGCCGGAGCTAAAGAAGAACCAGCAGCGGTCGTCGACGCCGCCAGACCTGCCGGAGGCCATCCAGACGCGCCGTCGACCGGTGAGCCCCCCCTCGGCCGAGAAGCTCCCCCGTTTTCCCCCGTTTTTTGCCTCGGTTTGGCGGACTCGCGCCGGCCGTTTCGCTCGAATCCCGGCCCATACCGACGCCGGTCCCGGCCCCCGCCACCGTCCTCGGCGAACCCAAGCCGCCGGAGCCGACCGGATCGCCGAGGAGGCCTAATCCCCCGCTTTTCCACGCGCCCGCCAAGCGTTCGACGAAATGCCTCAACCACGCCGGTTTTGTTCCATCGCCGGCCGGCGAACGGTGGTCCGATGGCGGTTCGTGTGAGTGGCACGCCGAGAGCGGTCCCGGTCTGGCTACTAGGGGGCGAGATCGCCTGGGTCGGCGGCGGACGGCCAATTTTGCCTCGCCGGCGCCTCCCCCGCGGATCTGTTTGTTCGGGTCGGATTCGACCCGAATCAACAGATCCGACCCGGGTCAACGCCCGGGTCGGATCCGTTGACTCGGGTCGGTTCCGACCCGATCCGAATTGACCGATCCGACCCGGGTCAACGACCGGGTCAGATCCGTTGACCCGGGTCGGTTCCGACCCGATCCGGAGTGACCGATCCGACCGGGTCAACGCCGGTCGGATCCGTTGACCCGGGTCGGTTCCGACCCGATCCGCCTTGACCCGGTTAATATTATATTATTATTTTATTTTATTTTTAAAAAAAAAAAAATTTAAAAAAAAATTTAAAAATTTTAAAAAAAAAAAATTTATTATTATTTTTTTTTCTTTTTCTTTTCTTTTGTATTATTATTATTATTATTAATTTTTTTTATTTTTTTTTATTTTTTCGAAAAAAAAAAAAAATTTAAAAAAAAAAAAAAAAAATTTTTTAAAAATTTGATTGATATATTCTAAATGTTTAATCTAATGTGATATTATTATGCATATTTTTGTCTTGTTTAAATTAGACAAACTTGAGATTGCGCGGTAATATTTTGCATGTTATGTTTATTATCGCTGTATTGTTATGCATGTTTTTAATACAATTGCATGAATGTTGTGTTTTTTGAATGTCATCTGACTTAGTTAGGGTTAGAACCTTAGGCTGCATGAATTGCTGTGTTCCTGACTGCTAATCGTTCCTGATTATGCACTCGTTTGATCACCTCACATATTAGGAGAAAGGTCCTAAAATCAATCCAAATTGCCTGACAAATGTTTTCAGAAATGAACAGGGTAAAATGGTACCGAAAGGGCATTAGTTATCCAACTAGTGTAACCAAGTCCCCGAACTCATTTAATCTCTGGTTCGTAGGAATAGGGTGATTCTCCCATCACCCTATTTGGGTTTCTAATCGACCCACCCCAAATCGATTAGTGGCGACTCCTTGATATAAACCACTTGCATGTTAAATACTTAAACCCTAAGTCGCGATATGGTATGGGCTTGGGAGAGCCCGAGTTAAGTCCCGAACCTAGACTTAGCACGTACCAGGCGAGCCCCCCTTTTTTTTGCATGTTGTTTAAAAAGGGCTCGGGAGTTCGGTCGCGACAATCTACATGGACGTAGCCATTTTGTTACCAAACCAAGAAAAAGAAAGGAAAGACCAAAAAAAAAGCAAAGCAAACAAAAGATCGCCTAAAAAAGTTGTCGGAGCGATGAGATACGCACCTTCGAAGCTTTGCCCTCTCAAATTTGTTGCAACATGACAAATAATAGGAGACATGTTCTACGAGCTTGGTTCATCCTAGTTTCTAGAAATTTCGTGTTTTCCATGCAATTCCTCTCGAAAATTTACGTAGAATCAAGAAAAAGATCGCCAAAAAAATATTGTCGGAACGATGAGATACGCAATCTTGAAGTTTTGCCCACTCGAATTTGCCGGAACTGGACAAATACCAGGAGACATGCTCTACTAGCTCGATTTATCCTATTTTCTAGAAATTTCTTGTTTCTATAATATTCCTTTAAATAAATCCACGTAGAATCAAGAAAAAAATTGCCCAAATAGTTGTCGGAGTAATGAGATACACACTCTCGTTCCCACCTTCGTGATCAACCAACATTAAACGAGAGCTAATATTTACAATTGGACATCCACACACAAGCGTTGCAAAATAAAGCACAACACTATGGTTAGAGATAATATTTTTCTAAAAGGACCTAAAACCACGATCCAAACATGGTACAATATTAGTAGTAGACCTATTAAATGGATGGATCGAATTTAGGTCTAGGTCAAGGTTAGATCGAAAATGGTTTGACGGTCAAATATTATCCTTAAATTTAAACCATACTCAATTTAAACCCGACTTGTCGCGGAATCCATTTTTAGCAACTTTTCTCCTTAAATCGCTGCCTTTAAAAAAATGAGGTGCCCCATGGACCGACTTGTTAAGATAGTGAGAAGCTCAAGGGTCAAGTTATGGGCGGGAGTGTGAAAGTCTAAACCTCCAATCCATAAATCATGAAACGAGTTCGGGTTTTGGTTTTTTATAGCCACTTGACTTTCATATTCCCATTTGAAATTTCTTATTAATTCTTAATCAACTATACCCTCGGCCAATATAATTAAAAGATGGTATGAGTTTGAGCACCATGTTGTCAGTTATCAAATCTTTGCCGGTTTGAATGTTCGAGCCACTGTCAGTATATAAGAGTTTATACTTGAATATTGAATGGATTTAAAGTGAGTTTATAACACATCCATTAAAACCCATCTGTTTTAGGTTTTAACTTTAAAACCTATTATGGCCCATACGTTGTATTAAGGGGACCCATTTAAATAAGTGTGGTTTATAATACTAATCGTGACCCACTTTGACAGCCCTAATCGATAGACATAAGTCGTTCTGAAGTCACCAAACTATCAGACAGATATTCGTCACACCAAAGGCTTGACAAGGTGCTTGCGTTATCTCCTAGTGCGATCACATTGCAATGTGCGGACTTACCTTCATCATCGATCTTAAGTTTCCGTCGCAAATATTTTGCCCGCTTAGCCAACATGATAGCGTCATAGGAATTGCACCTGAAAATAGAAAGGTGCCCGCCTAAGGATATCCATCATCTATATGCCCTATGAACTGAAAAAAGAACTCGAACACAGAATCGAATCATGAAGCGCGTGAACAAATTATGATAAGGTTTAGGATGGCTTCCCAGGACTTTCTTTTGGCAGAATAAATAACTTATGACTAAGTAATGACCAAAAAGGAAATTAATAACCTTTGCAAGCTAGTCAAGGGAGCACACGTTAGGCAGCTTGGTCATTCCCTGATAATAATCTCAGGCTGATAAAAGGCCCGACATATCGGCATTGTAAAAATGGTATAAAAGAAGCCTTCCCTTTTGCATAGACCATACGGTCAAAGGCAAAACATCGCAGTCACCGGAAACCCATTTCTCATCAGAAGAGTCGATGCTAGAAAAACATATGCAGCAGAAATGCACTTCTCGAGAAGATTAGGAAACCAAGTCCAAACAGATAAAAAGGAGACAAGTGAGGAATAACTAGACAGACAGACAGACACATCCCAGCAGGAGAGCATCTAATAGTTTTTACCATATTTCTGATTGACCAACCAAATCCCGACGAAAGGGCACCATCGAAATCTGAAAGACTCTTAAAACAATTCGACAACAGAATAATGAAGACCAACAAGCTAACTATGTCTTTGTGACAGATGGATTGGTCAGTAGACACCAAATATCAACATGCCTTCCGTAATTAAAGCACATACTATTCTACTCCATGGAGTTACTCCAGGTGATGGAAAAACAATTAGAGCTCACTTCGGAAAGACATCAAAACGACACTGTCAAATGATAGAAGAGAAGTCCAAGCAGATTCTTCAAGTGAGGTTAAAGACGCAAAATCACATTCTTCACAGCCTCAATCACAGACGATGGAGATATTGACGCAGAACTCTAATAATTACCAGCAACTGAGGCAGCTATTAGTGTACAAAGAGGAGGCGAACGGAGTTACCGCCTTCTAAAATTCAAACCCAGCTTTATATCAAGGAAAACAATATCTTTTCCCCTCCCACTTCTTTACAATGCAGCAAATTACAGAGAAAATCAAAATGATCTCGAGTTTCCTCCGTTTGCAATCCTCACGTGCTCTGTGCGTACAGGTCTCTCAATGCCTCTCTACCAACCTACCTACTTATCAAACTTTTGCACCGAGGAAAGACTGCAAAGATAATACAAGAGATAAACATAGTGTATGGAAAGAAATATAAACGGGTATGATGTAAGAAAGAAGCATATGACATGCACACTGTAATCAAGTTTTACAGCAACTTTTGACTAGCCCCATCACTTAATTTTTTGTGTCTTTAAGTATAGAAATAGAAGCCTATGTGAATGATTACTATTACAACACAGGCCTCACAAAATAGGCATATATAACTTTTAAAGTCGAATTCCACAGAAGCTGGTAAGTTGATGTCTTGAGCAGTTCCATACAGATTATAAAATCATGACACTGCTCTCTTTGCATACGTTCATTTCCCAACATTGTATCCATCTACACATGAAAGTAAGGGCAGCATTGCGCATGATGAAAACATCAAGAACAAGCTTCCTTGGAAACATATCGAAAAATCAGTGAGGCACGCACAGAATATCCTTCAGATCTTTTTCTACAAGCATATTAATATTGGAGTTCTGTGTAAGTGAGACAAACAAAGGTTCTACTATCGAAGCACTTTTAAATGGATAATTTCTTTGATAGTTTAGTTAACGAGTTTTAAGATTAAATTCCCAAAACTTCACACTGTTTTCCTCAAAACTGATATATTCTCACCAAATGTTGTCAAAGAGAGTCTCAGAAATAGCTCACAGCTGGAAATCCGAAATGTTATTTTCAAGAAGGAAAAGAAGATTCTCTAACTAAAACAAATCCAAAACTCACTGCAAGAAGTCCGAATTGTCATCAACAACCTATTGATACAAGTAGGAACAAGCCAAAACAATTTGCCCATACATTTGTCCATGTGGCCGTTTGTCAATCCTCATTGCCTATTGTTTTTGTGAAACAATTAGGAGACCACCTATTCCCATTCTTGTCTAGGTCATATACCTAATAGTCATTAAACCCTATTTATGCTTCTTTACCTTTCTTTTGCTCACCTGTGGGTAAGCACTCAGCAGACTTGTCAGTACTATTAACAGAATACCCAACTCAAGGTCAAATATACATTTCTGTTCTTAAGCTTTCTGAGAAATAACAGTAAAAGTAAGAGCAGATACACAAATTATACAAACAGTTTCATTCAGGCTATCTTTTGCCCTCACATATTCCCAAAATCTATTTAGAGCACCAACTGATGGCACAGAACTACAGGCAAACCAGATTAACAAGACCAGAAGTAACGAAGAGCATCCCCATAATAGTTTTGGTTACAACGTTTTGGATTCAACAATCAATTAGAACAAGGAATCAGATTTATTTATTTTTTTGGTTGAAAAGGAATTAGATATGACTAGTCAACTTTCTTACGTGGATAATTTAATCCTCTCACAATTTATGAAGCCTTAAGTTAGGCAAAAATTTTCCATCCCCATTTGTCGTTCTACGTCAACAAATGCCTTTGTTACACTCCCGAGTTATTTGCAAATTCAGTACACGAAAATTTTCTCCCATTTTGTCTATACATCCTATGCCAGCTACCATTTCATTCCGATTGTGTAATTTCAGGTAGCCCGACCTAAGAGTCCTGGAATTTCAAGGTTGAAGCTACCTATGACATAAAATCAAGATTAAAACATCAATGCCCGTATTTAAATGGTTGAATATAAACATAAGGCATCGATTTCTCTGTCTAATGAAAGAATCACATTAACCTTTACGCCAGTTGGAGTATTTCCAGGCTTTGCTGTTGTCGTGCTCCCAAAAGCATTGGCTCCTGAGGGAGAACTCAAAGGCTTAGCAGGAGTCATTGTCATGGCTCCAGAGTTAAATTTTAGCTTCTTATCAGCAGGCTTTAGTATTTGGAAAGAGCACATCAGGGTCTCATCAACACTCATCATGGCACCAGCATTGTCAAACTCCCCACAGTAGTTAGGTGCCGAAAATATAGTTACTAGTTGCCGGTTAGCAAAGAATTCGTAGCCATCCTCCACAACCTGCAAACAAACGTGGTAAAAAGAGCACCAGATACGATCAAAACATAAGTGCCTCCCTCCAAAAAAATCATACCAAATAACTGCACGAATGAAGCATGGACCAAACGTATCTGCAACTCAATGACATAAATTGCCATGAGTTGCCTTTATGGGAGTAACAAGGTAAAAGAGAAAGAAAAAGAAAGAAAAACAGGAAATATCCAGTGATCTACAAATAGGATGTCCTAGTGCTTGTCCAAGTCTAATAAGAGTATAATCCAAAGTCATTTTGACAGGCTTGAAGAGGGTGGAAACTGGTCAAGTTAGAATGCGTAAAATGAATTAAGCCACTGAAAGAAAATAAAAACCTGATGAGCACGGCAAACAAGGTCCAGATCATGCTTCTCGAGAAACTCTGTCACCTTGTCTGACCCAAAGGTATATGAAACTCCTCGGTCATTCATTCCCCAGCCCTGTACATCCTTGCTAGGATCTGACCAGAGAAGATCACAGAGCAAACCAGTATCTGGTACATCCGTGGGACGCTGCAAGTTCCTAATTTGGTCTAAATGGTGTAAGTCAGGTGAAAGACCGCCATGCATGCACAGAATCTTCTCATCTATCAAGGCTGCCACAGGCAGACAATTAAAGCAGTCTGTGAAAGTCTTCCACAACCTGACATTGAACCTTCTCTTACACTCATCATAAAATCCATATATCCGATTTATAGAAGCACATTCGTGGTTTCCTCTCAAGAGGAAAAAGTTTTCGGGGTATTTAATCTTATATGCTAGGAGTAGACATATTGTCTCCAGACTTTGCTTGCCTCTATCCACATAGTCCCCCAAAAACAAGTAATTGGCATGAGGAGGCAATCCCCCATACTCAAAAAGTCTCAAAAGATCCGAGTATTGTCCGTGGATGTCCCCTGAAACTCGAGAAAAATAGTTCCTTGTCATTAAATTTTCAAAAGTTTGTTGACGGATAAAAAGAACGAAATATGTTCAGGGGAAAAGCAAAACAAGCAGCTATGAGATTATGATAGAGTGGGTAGAGCAGTGATATATTAATTGAGAAGGAAAAAACGTTGAAATCAGCTCAGTTGCCAAAAGTATGCCATATTCTTTCGGTATCTATGAGATTTTTTTAAAGGATTTTTACTCAGTTATCATTGAACTCCTGTCAATTCTTCACAGAATGAAATAGAGCATCTTGAATGAAATACAAGCATCCAGTAGAAGCAGCTAAATTCCAACAAGATAATACAATTAAACCTGGTGATACAAAAGAAATCAACATCCTATGCAATAAATGAATCTATGACAAGCGGAAAATAAGCTCCAAATCAAGAGACAATTTCGAAGCACGACTTAACATATGAACTGCAAAAGTTCTCACCATCAGCAACGGCGCCAAGAGAGGAACATTAACAAAGTCAACAGATCATAAATGATGCCAATAGAAAGTCAATCAGGGAACCAGGGCCATATACAACGGTGGCATTAGATTCATCAGAATTAAAGTTGAGCTTAAACCATTAACACTGACTGTTCACTCCAAAATCAGACAGAGTAGTGTGACCAAAAATATCTAATTTGTTGATCGATTAAAGAGGTGGTATAACTTGTGAAGCGCATTCCACGAGAACCAGACAACCTAGAAACTTCATCCCATCCTAACATAGCTTAAACTACAATTGAACACATAATATCAACAAAAAATATTTGATGAAATGCAAGTGAAACATAGATTTGTTCAGTTCACCAAACTTGATCAATCTCTTTTCATGGTTAGAATAGAGGAAAGCCAACTGGAGAAACTGACATGAGAATCAATGGACAAATTTTGAATCTTTCTATACAAACTGAAACCTCTGCAGTGCCTATCGGCCTGTGGTGCTCACGAAGTTGCAGCCATTACTGTAAAAGGTTAGCTCAGAAAGAAGCCACTTTAGAAAGGGGTAATTGCTCTTATATCCATCACCTTATCTGCTTCGGGTAATTCCTAGCTATGCTTGTTCTCCCGCCCCTATCTATGATGACTAAGCCTATTGAGCCCATTTTCTCTCTCTCACTCGACCAACTCGATCAACCAGTGCAGCTCCTGACAGTCACTATTGATGTTTAAAATGACTGATCAACCTCATCAATCAGATCTACCGATCACCTGCAAGAGGATGTTCGGTTTAAGGCCACATTTTTAGTCCACGTACCTCTGCCCATTCAACGAGCCCACCACCCTACTCCACCACGATGCGAGTGAAGAGACAAAGACCGATATCAGCTTTCTCGATACCAAGGATAGACTAGGGAATCGAACATGTGACTTTCGATTTGCAAACCAAGTCCTGGACCAGTTGACCAATCAAAGCGGTGGTTCATACTTTCTAATTACAAAAAACCGAGAGATGCACTCTTGTAAACTTTCGTGTGCTGTCGTTTTGAAAGACAACCTAACCATTGGCCAAAAAAAGAGACTAACCACTAGCATCTTTGAATCAAGCATAATAAATATGGATCTTCGCCCAAAAAAATCACCCAAACAAGCAAAGCATGAGTGGCTGTAAGTTTGAGGACAAGCAGAACCACTTTATATGTCATGCTTGATTTTTTCTCCACCCCTTCTATTTTGAAGATTTACATCCTCAAGTTTCAGTCTCCACTTTCTTTCATTCTATGCATCACATTCTAGAGCATTAGCACCTAAACAACCCGTCGACTCTCCTCTCAATTTCCATAAGGACGACATTAGCATACTTGATTTTTTTAAAGAACAGTCACGTGGTAATCAAATTGAGAATACTGAAGGAAATACATACACGCGGGGCAGCGTTTATAGACAATACCAAAAAAATACTAACATCTGAAGGCAAATGCAGCAATATTGGAAATCGCGCAATTTGAGTTGTCCTTACCCTACCCACAGGACAGTGGAGAACATAACTAAATGTAACTATTCAGGCAGATACACCAGAAGAGACAATGAACGCATTAAATTGAAAGGAGCTCAAAAAATACAATCTATGAAGCGAAATCAACAACTGCCAAGACCTGGCGAAAGGTCTTAAATCAATAGCAAGCACAGGACAAGTCCAGAATTCACTGTGGACATTCGAAGGACAGAAGTTCCAAAAGGAAACAAGAAGAACATTCCTGCAAGCAAACAACTTTCAAACGCTCGAAACTACTAACAAATTGGACAAAGCACACGTTCAACAAGCTAATGCAACCGAACACAGAATCCACCGATGTAAGCAGGCATAACGAGGCATCCGATACAGAATCTTAAATCGCCCACAGAGTATGCCGCTCGTAACAAACTCACCCCAAATACATCATAACGAACAAAAAAAAAAAAAAAACCTATTTCAGTTCTCCCAGCTAACCATCTATCCTGAACTGAACCTATCCAAGAGAGTCGACCGCATAAATTTCTTAACAAAGACGAAACGCTACTTAGCTCAACGATAAACCAAGACAAAAGCCAGCACCGATACATCACAGATTAACCAAAAGCACACCAAACGAAGAGGACTACCGCATATCTTAATCGGCGCCTCGAGATCCAGCAGATTGGGCTGCTGCATGAAGATGTCCTTCGAGGCCACGCAAAGCTGCCGGATCTCCCCCTCCGACAGCTGGACTTGCTTCCCGGGCCGGGTGCGAACCTCCAGGAGCCGGCTGATGATGTCGTCCAGGACCGCTTGCTCCATCTAGAAAGAACAAAAACCCTCCCTAGGGTCCAGGGTCCGAAGAAAACGACGTAGCCGCAGCCGCCGCCGCCGCCGCCGCCGCCGCCACCAGCGCGCGCACCGGCGGCTCGGGGGGAGGTCAGGTCAACCGAGAGAGAGAGAGAGAGAGAGAGAGAGAGACGCTAACGAATCAGCGGTCGCCGCTCGGGGGCCGGGGAGCGGGACCGGAGGCGGAGGCCGAGCAGGAGAGGAGCATGCCGCGGCCGGCGGCGGCGGAGGTGGGGCGGCGGAGGAGGGGATCGAAGGGGCGGGGGGGGAGGTGGAGCTAGGGCATCGCGGGGAGGGAAAGGCCTGGCTCTCTTGGCGAAACGTGTAGAAACTTGAAAAGTGGAAAGAGAAGGAAAGGAGCCCCCTCTTCTTCTTGACTACGCAGGGGGGGCCTTTCGGTCAATTCACCGGTTGGGCGGTTGATTTTTTTTAAAAACCCACGACGGGCTTTTATTTTTTTTATTTTTTATTTAATAATCAACAGAGTTCACTATGATTAAAGAAGTGATTTTTGTGCGCTCCATGTTAGTGCGTACATGGTGTGCGGGAAATTTAAAGAAAGCTGCATGAGAGTAGTCAAGGCGCTGATTTGAATCATGATGCAAATTAGGTCGTTAATCAAATCGCCATCGGTCAAATGTTTGGTGAATGCCGGTTGCAGGTTCTCGAAGCCGAAAATGACACGAGATGGTCCATGAACCTTGGCTAAATGAGCAATGCGGTCCCCGAACTTTTAATTTGTTCAATATGATCCCTAAACTTGTGATATATATGTTTAATGTAGTCCTTGAATTTTATGAAAATATTCAATGTTGTCTTCGAATTTGAATTAATGAAATAACATTGGATCTTTTCATATGATCTAAAGATTGGATTAAACATTTACTAAAAGTTCAAAAATCTTATTATACAGATTAAAAGTTAATGAATAACATTATGTATGGATAAAATTTAGGAATCATTTGTGGAATTACCACGTTCCAAAAGTTCTAAACTTCCTCAATTCTAGTTCTTGTTTCATGGGGGCTGGGGAGAGATCCGATGAAGACAGGACAGGCTCATTATGGCAGATCAATGATGGGGAGTCGGCGGAGGTATGAGGAGAGGAGACACATTGGATCAAAGGCACTTGGTAGATAGTGTGGAATTGGCAAACGAGGAAGATGGAAATCAGTGGAGCTTGGTGTTCTTGGGTTGTGTGAACGGGGAAGAAACCTGTGCCTTAGAAGAAAGGAAAACAGCAAGAACTGGAAGCCTTTCAAGCTCACACCCAGTTGAGAAGTCAACTTGGGAAGTGATCTGGAAACTAGAATCTCCTCTGGCGACGGAGAATCTCATGTGCCGGTATGGGAAAGGGAGAAACGAAGCCGGTATCCGATCACTGTCCGCCGGAACGACTAGAAGGGTCGAAAGAGCTGTGAAATGGACACAAGTGAGTATCTTATTAGGCAATTAGAAGGGTCATAGAACCTGAAGGAACCCTCAATGCCTTATCTTGCTAGATGAATCTTACTGAAGAAAGCTCTTATCAGATGAATGAAAGACATGTTTCTGGGTCCAGGAAAGTGCAGAGCCTGCTTCCAGGCAGGCAGGAACAATGGCCACTCACTTCCTGCTGTCGCTTTGCGAGCCACCATGCACCTCATTTTCCGGCTACCATAACCAGTGCAAGTGGTGAGCTTGTGCCGCGAACCCCGAACATTCAGTGACGCGTAGTCCAACAAAAATGATAGGATACAATAATCCCCCTTCTCAAGCAAAGTGATCCAAAGCGTTTCATCAACCAAGTTATCGAGCAACCCGTGATTGAGCACTATTTTACTACTCGAACGTCATCGAGTTGGCGCCGTGTCCGTTGTCCCATGTCGCTTCGTGTACTCTTGTTGCTTCGTTGTGTGACTCAAGAGTTCGACGTACCCACCAGATTTGACTCTCTCTTCCTTCGTCATTTTCTCTGCATCTTCCAAAGATAACGACCCTTGAAAAGGAAGGCGGACATGGTTTTGAGCCTCACCAAACCTGTAGTTGACTGACTGGTTAAGCAGAAAACAATGGCATTAACAAATGGGATTAGACTGATTAGTTTGTAAGGCTCTACCTTACACTTTAGGGAATCATAGTCCCTCTTGCATGTTTTATGTATTTCAGTCTGATTAGAGTTTATCAGCAAGTGCCTCTCGGGACATTTGTTAACCATGTTTTGAAATGACTTTTCGATTTTCAAAATATTGATTATACAGGCCAAGTTCTCTTAAAAGTACCAACTTTAAGTTGGGTCTCGATCCTAGTCTATGTTGAGTAGGTCACTCCCAATTGGAGAGGCCAAAGGGAGGGGGAAAGAAAATCAAGAGAGATCGGGAGATAAATCAACATGATCTTCCACATCCAGAAAATCATGAGTGTTCTAAAAACAAATCACCGTGATTTTCATATCGTACAATTCCAATTGGGATTGCATTTGCTCCTATAAATAGGAGTCCTCCTCAATGGAGGGATATATACAAAAAAGCAAGAAGATCAGAGTATAGCGGAAGAAACAATCTTTTTCTTCCAAGAGAGTTATCTTCAAGAGAGTTATCCAGTTGTGAGAGGTTCATATCCACAAATTGAAGACAGTGAGAGATCCACCTTAGGGTGAAGTTGTATCCCATTATTTATCATAGTGGAAGTTTGAAGTGGACTACGGTCCCGTGATTTTTCCCTTCACCTTGAAGGGTTTCCATGTTAAAATTCTGGTGTTATTTACTATTCGTCTTTACCGCTTTCATCAAATATTTTATCCTATTTAATTGTCACAGAAATAGTGGTGGGAAAATTATCCGGGCCTTTTCGCAAATATTGTTCTTTTCCCAATAAGTGGTATCAGAGCCAGGTTGCTCTATATATTATTTTTTTGTGCAAAATTAAATGGAGGAGAATTCTGGAAACATGATAAAATTGACCGCATTCAATTATGCGATCTGGAAACCAAAGATGGAGGATCTGCTATACATTAAAGACCTTTGGAGGCCAATCGTGATACCAATGGAGGAACCAACACCAACGTCCAAGGAGGTAGATCCTGTAGCGAAAGACAAATCGGCATCGTCCTCTGGTGGCAAACCAACGACCATGTCCGAAAGTGAATGGATGGTGCTCAATCGAAAGTGTGCTGCTCAAATCCGGCAATGGATCGACAAGAGTATTTTTCAAAATTTTGCTAATGAACATGATGTTGGTGTTCTTTGGCAAAAATTAGAGAAAATGTATGCAAGAACAACGGCGCAAAATAAAGCAAATCACATGCGGCGGCTCGTGAATTTGAAATACGAAGATGGGAGCAGTGTCTCGGAACACATGAGTGAGTTTCAAGGTATAGTAGACCAACTCAACTCTATGAAGATGACATTAGATGATGAGTTGCAGGCGTTGCTGCTACTTAGCTCTTTGCCGAAAAGCTGGGACACACTTGTTGTGTCAGTCAGCAACTCGGCTCCTGACGGCAAGCTTACCATGGACATGGTAAAAGATAGAACGTTGAATGAAGAATCCTGGCGAAAAGAGAGCGGGAGTCAACCTGGAATCCGAGGCCCTTGTCATTAACCGACAAGAAAATCAAGAACGGAGAGGGAGAAGCAAAAGCCGAAATTTCCGAAATCAGCAGCGAGGAAAGTCCCAATCCAACTTCAGACGGACAAGAAGTGCCATCATTGTGGTAAATTGGGACACTTCATCCGAGAATGCAGAAAGCTAAAGGCAGAAAAATCAAAGAGTCATAACATCAACAAAGCTGACGAGAACCATACGAATGACACCGCAAATATTACAGACAAGGTAATCATTATTCAAAGTGATGATTCCATTAATCATGCATCGCAAGATTCGGCATGGGTAGTCGACTCCGGCGCATCCTACCATGTCACGGGTCGTCAAGATCTTTTTACATCTTACACCACTGGCAACTTTGGCTTTGTAAAGATGGGAAACGACGGTACGTCCAAAATTACTGGTATGGGTAATATTTATTTGGAGACTAATGTTGAATGTAGGCTTTTACTCAAAGATGTAAGACATGTTCCGGACATACGTCTCAATCTTATATCTACCAGCAAGCTCGATGACGAAGGCTACAGCAATTTCTTTAGTAATGGGAAATGGAAGCTTACTAAAGGTAATTTGGTGGTAGCCAAAGCAGAAAAAACTTGCTCTCTCTACATCACACAATCCAAGCTGTGTAGAGGAGAGGTGAATGTAACAAGAAAAGGAGTCACCACCGAGTTATGGCATAAAAGACTCGGACACATGAGTGAGAAAGGACTCAAGATTCTCACTGGAAAGCAACTCCTACCGGGAATGAAAGGTACACTGTTAAATTCTTGTGTCGACTGCATTATGGGAAAACAACACAGAGTAGCATTTCGTAATTCCCCACCATCCAGAAAAGCTGAAATTTTAGATTTAATACATACTGATGTATGCACAATGCAAACTAGAACACTTGGAGGTGCGCTTTATTTTGTAACATTTATTGATGACCACTCTAGAAAGGTATGGGCATTTGCCTTGAAAACTAAAGATCAAGTGCAGGAAATCTTCAAGCAATTTCATATGAAGGTTGAAAGAGAAATAGGAAGGCGATTGAAGTGTGTGCGTTCAGACAACGGTGGTGAATACCGAGGAAACGGTGGTGAATACCGAGGACCTTTCGAGGATTATTGCAAAAGTTTCGGGATCAAACTAGAAAGTTCCGTACCAAAAACACCTCAACACAACGGTGTCGCGGAGCGGATAAACAGAACCATCTGCGAAAAATCAGATGCATGCTCTCCAGCGCAAAGCTGCCAAACCACTTTTGGGGTGAGGCAATGAGGACGGCAGTTGACTTAATCAACCTATCACCTTCAGCACCACTTGACGGTGACGTACCACAAAGTGTCTGGACCAGTAAAGATGCTTCTTACGGCCATTTGAAGGTTTTCGGATGTAGAGCATTTGTTCACATTCCCAGGGATGAGAGATTAAAGCTCGACGGGAAATCAAAACAATGTATTTTTTTGGGCTACGCTCATGAAGAATTCGGCTATAGACTCTGGGACCCCGTTAGCCGGAAAATAGTCAGAAGTAGGGACGTGGTATTTCTTGAAGATCAGACAATCGAGGACTTCGAGAAGCACAAGAAATCTCAAACAATAGACGAATACCCTGTTGATCTTGGCCCAATCGCTCCTCCTACCGATTCTAATAATGAGCAAGCTGAATCTAGCATTGAAGGTATGACTACTTCA